CTGAATTTCTGTCCATATTTAGAAACTTTTTTTATTTCTTTCTCCTCAGAACGTGCTGGTTCCTTGGAAGTCTCCACCAGGGGATCACCATTCTTTTACACCAAAGGATTGGCCGTAAAAATTAAATGTACACGGGGTAACTTCATTATGGTACTGTCCATGGATTGGTCCCTAATACAATATGCATACACATTTCTGGATGTTTTAACTCCTTAAATTGAGAAAGTTATTCATTTTGCATGCAATCATTTTATCATAGTAATGCCATATAACTCTAAATAATATGGTTAACCACATCAGTAAAATGTTGATCAGTGTTATGATAAGAAAACTCTAAAACTTCCGTGCTTTAAAGTGCTGAGGGCATCACAGGGCTGCTCTCCTCCCTCTTTCTCTGCCCTGTGTGTGTGTCCTCTCTTCTCCTGGACTAAATTAGGCAGAGAAAAATAAGAAAATGCTCTGAGATACATGAACCTACTTACTGTGAAGAAGCAGAACAGATGGAAATGGTCCAGAACCGTCCTGGCCCCTCGAATGAGCTCTGTGTTCCTGATCCCCAGAATTCTCCTGGCACAGAGGGGACTCCTGAGGAGAGCAGTGTTAGGGCGAGGATGGGAACTGACCCACCTGGCACCACGATGATGAAAGAACGTGGCCAGTGACAGCACTGAGGAAGTGCCAGGCCTGGGGGTCTTTCTCTCCTAATCCTCTGACAGTAAGAATCTGCTATCCTGATTTCCTCACAGGTGGTCACTCACTCACCAAGTAGTGACCTAGATAGACCATCTACAGTGTCTCCTCAGCATATGTGATGAGCTGGTGTTTCAGTAGAAGCTGGAGAGTCAACACCTCCTATCAATTTCCCCCTATTATCATTGTATGGATTTTTACCCTACATAGTACATGTAAGTTTGTGCTGATACATATCAGACTGTCCCTGGGTTTCTCCACCAAGAATGCTATCAAGACAAACAAACCGTGAGAAACACTTCTTTTTATTTTTTGGTTTTTTTGATTCCCCACTATTAAATTCTCTAAATTATCAATGATCCAGGGCACAGAGTGTCATTTTCAGGTCTCCACAGCTGCAAAAAATAGAAATCATGCATTTCTTGGGTTGGGCTATTCAACTCTTGCCCAGGTCTCACCAAGTCTTTCACAGGAGGAAAGAATGTGCCTTGATTAACACTCACTACACCAGCCGCGCTGCCCCCGCTTTATCTCACTGTGTGACTGCTGTTCTAGCATACGTGTCTCCTGAAAATAAGCACCCAGCCAGCGTCAGCCATAACCTAGTACATGTTTCATTTTGCATCATTATGTTGTCTTAGCTTAGGCAAATGATCTCTTAACATGGAGACACTTTCCCAGCTATGACGAACAAGAAGGACATGAACATCTGTCACCCAGAGCACAAGGGTCCAGGATTGGCTTCCTCCTCCTTGGAGGGTCCAGACAGGAGGCCATTCCGTGGGTGTCTTGGTCTTAGCCCAGTGGCCCAGCATGGGATCATAAAGTACAGAACTGCAAAGTACACACCTGCCTCGCTTACACTGCATGACGACACTCTGTCTATGATGCTTGTCACAAACCCAGGTGAGGATGGGTGAGGATGTATGAGGACGGCAATTCCGAGCGCACACTTCCTCATGAGGACAGATGCGAGCAGTTTAGAGATCTGCCACACGAGACAGGGGGAGGCATCGGAAAAGTTCAAGACCCATCACTTCTAGCTAGACTCATTCAATATTATCATATACCATTTAACATTAGACAATCTTTCATACTTTCATAGTTAAATATACAGTCATCTAATGATGATAACTTCTTTGATGCATGTGTTTGAGAAATGTGAGCATACGGTCCACACACATGACAATATGCATATGTATAATCTCATAGTTCCTGTGGCTCTACTCACAGTTCTGAAACAGCCCATATGCCCATCAAAAGCAGAACTCATGCAATGAAATACTGTGCTACAATATAAAGAATGAGCTACAGAAAGATGCAGAAAAAAAACCGAGGAGAAGAATTTCAAGGCTATTCTGCTGAATATCAGAAATCAGACAGAGGATGGTTTGATTGCAAAATGTTTTAGTGTTGTTTCATGTAGTGATGTTCTTTGTCTTTAGGGTTAATTCCAGCAGACTTGAAATCATCACAAGGTGCTTTGCTGTGGTTCCTGCATGGTGCTGACCCTTCCTCAAGGCAGGAGCGCCCAGATCAATCGCGTTGTCTTGTGGTTAAGCATGGGTAGAGTTACTAATCGATTTGTCCCAGCTCAAAGCACTATGCCTCGATCACAACTGGGGCAGTGTTTTGCATGTGGTCTCTGTGAGACACACAGAATAGCCTTCTGTGGAGGCTGACTGTACAACAAGGAATCTGCCTGCACAACAGATCAGCAGTCAGAGGCCCTACCTAACGCACCATTTAGGGAATTTCTGGTTCTGAGGAACTCTATTTTCGTTCTATCACAAACAGAACATGCACCACAGAGAGGAAGCCAAGGCCACTGGAACTCAGGCCTGATCCCTCAGGACTCATCAGAGGAGGCGTCTTCAGGGAAGAGGCCTGTCTCAGCTCTCATGCTGTTGCTATGTCATCTCCTATTTCTGTGACAAACTGTGGATTTGTGAATAATTTTATGGGGTCCTGTGGGCAAACACATCAGGAACCCTCACTGTCACTGGTACAGCATTTGGCATCTGGATGAAATTGCAGGCATTCCTGCATTGTGCTGACCCTTCCTCAAGGCAGAGGAACACCTTTAAGAAAAATATTACCAGCAACGTTCTCGTGAATTTAAAAGATGTTTCAGGCAAGGAGAAAGAAGCAAACTGATAGATCTAGAGTCAGAGCTGATCGTGTGTCTAAGCGCAAGGACTTTGGAATGGCTTCCTGATGATGAATAATCCCGGGATTTAGTAAAATGGGTGAGCCGGGAACTGCGGCAAAAGGAAACACTGGGGCAAATTAGCTAAAAATTCGCCCTCTGCACTTCTGCTTAGCAAAAGAGAAAGTGCTGGCCAGCAGGGGGAGCTCCATCCCCAGCCTCCTTTGCAACCATAATAAACTATCTAAATAAACTCTATACCTGTGAGATGGGTCCTTAGAACTTGTCCCAATCGATTAAAGGACAGGGGAGCCCTGGGAGTCAGAGAAGGGAAACGCCCTGCTCCCCCCTCTGTGAGGGAGACGGACAGACCTTCCTGCAGCCACAGACACGCGACAAGTGCTGGCGGGATGGAAGGGTCTCCTTCACTACAAGAAGACAGAAGTTCAGACCCTAAGTGTCTGTTTGTCCCTCCTAGGGAATGATGGACAGCAGGAGGAAGAGACCCCGCCCGCGGCTCATCCCGCACAGCCGCGATGAGCGCAGAAAGTTTCTCCAAATTGTTATTCCTTCTTCCATCTCCGCCTGCTGTGACACCCGGACACTCGGGCCGTGGGATAAATGGGGCCTGTGCTTTCCCCACTTTATTATCAATGAGTTTATAAATTACTATTATTTTCTTCAGATCTTGAAATTAATCACACGTGAAGCTAGCGGAGCCCGAGATACACTGACTGACAAGATTTTAAATACTATTTGTATTCCTTTCCTCATGAAACCATTCATATATTCTATTTCTATGTAATTCGGTTTTTTCTCTAATTGTATTGAGATCCTTTGGACAATTTATATCTCCCGTGATTGTTTCTCTCATTTCCTCTAACTGTGCTGCTGGTCAGTATTCAGCAGCTCATTCTATTCTGTAGCGCCCTTTCGTGTCTGTAGTCAGTGGTGATGGCGACTCTGTCACAACCGATTTCAGCGGTTCCTGGCAGTGAGGACTGAGGTTAGATTAGGCATACAGGAGACGGAGAGAGCTAACTTGCATGTAGGCGACAGCCTCGCTGGTGACAGAAAGTGGAGCCATGTGATTGACACTACGAGGTGGGGTCCACCAGGGAAGGACTCGCTCTGTCTCTGTCTCTCAGTCTCTGTCGGTCTCTCTCATTTATCCCCCACATTCTTAAGCATAAGGCGCACTTTATTGTGTGCTGAAACAGAAATTAATGTCCTAACCAATATGAATTTAATTTTACTGTTGCCTTCAGTTCCCCTATAAGAGTACACAATTCTTGAAGCCATGGAGTGCATCTTATTCACTTGGAACCCGGGAATCCAGTGTAATATCTGATACAAGAAATACTTTGCTAAACACTGAATGTACACTTAGACTCAACTTAATATGTATCTTCATCTTGATGTTTTTTCCTCCAAATCTTAAATTATACAATAGGTAAGGCAATAGGTGAAATTGTGTGTGTGTGTGTGTGTGTGTGTGTGTGTGTGTTTGCTTGTTTGTGAGTGCTGAGGAGTAACTCAGTTTACAATTGTTCCTGTGCATTTTGGAAATCAGAAAGCTTCCTAACTCCTTGGTTGATAATAACAGATAAATATCCCTGATTAGCTTTTGTTTGCTTTAATGGTTGAACTCTCAGTGGAGAGTAAAGGGACTTCACATTTACATTTGTTATCATTGGTGACCTACCCTATTCTTTAAGGAAAAATAACAAAATAAAATTTCAAATAAAATCTGCAGTCGCATGAAGACTTTATTTTGAAACCAACTCCTTTGGTAAAAGGTCCTGTGATTCAAGGCAGGAGATCATCTCTCCAAACACACGTGTGGAATGCATGTGATGAGAATCAGAGCCACCTCAGCATCACAGCACCATAATGGATGAGTCTCCGCCTGCCGCAGTGAAGGGAGACAGGAAAACAATGTGTCCTTTGCTTCACAGAGGAATACAGGAGACGGAGAGAGCTAGTTTGCACATAGGTGAAATGCCATCTGCTGTGTCCCTGGGCAGGTTCTGGGCTCCCCCACCAGTGCAGTGAGCCATTTCCACCTCACTGCTTTTGCGAAGGGCAATGTCAGGTAAATCAAGAGAGCATCACTGAGCTCACATCTTTAGCACTTTAGACTTTGCTCCCTTCTGAGGGTGTGTTTTTTCTATTACCATAAAGACCACTTGCTTCTGAATAGTTTCTATTTCTTTTATTAAGAAGTCACCAGCTCTTCATATCAAGGGTCCACGTGTGTCTTTGAGAATATGCTGGGATTATTCTTGTAACTCTGAGGCTGGAACAGCACACTCTACAAGGAAGGAAATATGTCAGGTTACTGATTTCTCTCAGGTACATCTGATGCCGATTCCCCAGCTCCATGCACAGAATTGTAGCTATTCCAGGATTAGGGCAACACAGCATTAAATTCTCGGAATAAGTGCTGTTCATCAGTCTAGTGTCCTCTTCTCTACAATTAAAAGATTGGATGAATCAAAGCCTGTTAATTCAATTAAATGAAGCTAAGTGTTCATAGTAGTGGTCCCATAATATCCCATGCAAGTTATTCCAATATTATTTCTGTAGACCTTTTTAAGCAAAAAGGAAAGACTTCTAAGGTCACAGGAGGGACAAGCAGATCATAAGGTAGAGATAGATTCCATTCATCTGCAAGTCCTTCTCAGTGAATCATTCTACAAAGAGAAATTTTCTTGATGTTGGGATTGTCACTGATTTTTTTGGACATCAAAACAAAGGCTCATGCGATAAAATCTAAAAGTTGAATGAGATTTCCTCATACTACAAAGCTCTGCACAGCAAAGACCACATTCCAGAAAAATGCAATAGACATTTTGGGAAGTTATTTTGAGGGAATAGATCAGAAAGAAGAGCCTTAGTGCAAAACCTACACAGACATGGCACACGGTAAATGAGGGGAAAAAATCACTTTAAAAGTATGAAAGGACTAGAATAAAATTACTAGTATTCAATTTTATTATTCTTGGCTACTAGTATTCAATAAAATTGAATACTAGTAGCCAAGAATAATTAGAAAGGGTTTTAGAAAAGCTAATGAGTAGTAAAATGACAGCAACACTACAGTGATCCAAGGGCTCACAAGTGTTTGGATTTAGTCTGTGAATTATCAGAATTCAGGGTGGGACAAGCCTGGGAAGGCTGTGAACAAAGAAGAATACCTGTATTATGTAGGGAGAATATGACCTTGTGTAGCCGTTATGAAACACACGATGAAAATTTCAAACAAAATTTAAAATAAAACTAGCATATTGCTCAGCTATTACTCTTCTAGACATACTGAAAGAAATGACATCAACATCTACTGAAGGTATCATTATTCCAGTATCCAATGCAGCATTATGAACAATATGTAGCATATAGAAAGAACATAAACATTCATTACAGAGAGATACATAAAAATACTTTCACATATACATCATGGAATATTATTCACAGATGAAGAAGAAGGACAGCCACCATGGGTGACAGCTTGGATGAAACTGGGAAGCATTTTGCTAAATGAAATATGGCAGACACAGAAAAATACTGTGTGACCTCATGTATATGTGGGTCCTCAAAAAATATTGATAGAGATGGAGGCCAGAATGATGGTTTCCAAAGATGCACAGTTCAGATGTAGGCAGTGGCACAAAGGTGGAATTTTGTAGGGTAAAAAGTCTAGAAACCTGATGTAAGTGTGGGAACTGAATTAGGAATACTGTGCTGCACCCTGGAAATTTCCCAGAAGAGCTGACCTCGGGTGTTCTTATGTAAAGAAAAAGAAACCACATGGGGTGAAGTTTGTGCTAATTTGCTTATCATAGCAGTCATTTCACAACATACATGCACATTATTACTTTGTCATTGATCATAATTTTTTGTGGTATGGAGTACTGAACCCTGAGCCTACACACTGAACTACATCTACATCAGCTCTGAGGAAGGTGATTCCTAAATTGTTAACTTGCTTGGGTTGGGCTACGAGTTAAGATCCTCCTGCCTCAGCCTCCCAGAGAGGTAGAATGACAGGTATATGCCACCATGCTTGGTTGAAACATCATATAGTATACTTTAAATAATTACAACAAAAACAGTGAAAGGTTTTTCCCAGAATTTGTATGAATCATTAGTCTTGAAATATACTCTTCAGGGACAGATCAGAGTTCTGTAGAACTGACAGCCTTCCAGATATTTCTGCTTTTCATAAGAAGGACCTGTAACCACATCAGTTTCTGTACCCATCCTCAAAGGTATTCACACTGAGGGGAGAGAAACCAGAAAAGTCAGCACCAGCAAATCAGTGACAATTATTCTTCTGAGAAGACTTCAGCTCCTCTTTATTATCTCCTGGATGATGCAATGGCAGAAAAGACCAAGGAGAGCACATGAAGGCATTCTCTCATGTCAGCTAAGGGGTGGGACAGCCACACATGTCAGTATTGGTCTTCTGCAGGTGTGGAGAGTTCAACCTCATTTCATCATAAGTAGATCATCTATTGTGAAGAATTAAGCAAACAGAAGATCAGTGCATGGTTTTTCAAATGCCCAGGCCCCTGTGTCTCCTCGTACTGTAAGATCTCCCTAAGTTTCACATTTCTTTCTCTCTGATAAAAAATTTAAACACAGTTTCAAGCTCCTCATCTAGTGTCCAATCTAAACTCGTTTTTTTCACTCCCAAGCACTAGGGATTCCTCCCACAGATTACTAATGTGAAATAGCAGTTTAAAGGCGTGTTCCTCATCTCTTAAACATAAAGCATGTCTGTGAAGTGGCAGATTATTCCTTGCCCTCTAGATAAGAAATACTTACTCAAAGGTAGTATTTTATCCCCAAAAACAAGCAAAGCAGAGGGATGATGAACTCAAACACTGTGAGGACGAGCTTGAGAAGCACGGGAAATGCCATTGTGAGCATGCGGGAGAGAAAATGAGAGAGCAGTGAAGAGATGCTGTCAGCCTCGGGCAAACTTTTAGACCTGTTTTCATCATGGACAAGCGCTGGGGTGGCAAATATTCCAATCTTTCCCCATAAACGTCCCCTCCCTATGATTGTGCTCTTGGGGGTACAGTGCCACCCTCTTAAAATATCAGACCAGTGAAATGACCTCCTATTGTCCAGCCTGCTTCCTGTTATAACCAGGAATATACACAAGGCTGTTTAGTTCCAAAGCCAGCGTCTTGGATGGTTCTGAATCCGAGACTAGATTGGAATCCATTTGTGTCCTGTAGTAATGAACCCTCAGCATGGGCAGTGTTTCTGCCAGAGTTGAGGTAAAAATAAAAATACTGAAAGGCACTGGGTTTTCCAAATCACTGTTAGGAATGGAACAGAACCCTGGAATTGTCTTTTTACTTTAGGAAGGACTGGAATGAAAATTATTAAATGTATTCCTGAGTGCCAGTTGATTTATCCCAAATGTAAGTTTTATTTAGTTTCAAGTAATGCACTCTAAACTCAAAATCTTGTTGCATAAATAAATTTATTCCCTTAGAATCAAGCTTTGGCCATGTTTATACGCAGCTCTCAAAGTTACTTTGTGTATGCATAAATGCCAACAATTGCATACCTGGATCTGGAAATACTTACAGATGTGACATCTGCAGGGAATATGCCCAGGGTACCTGCAACTTCAAATGTATTTATACCATGCAGTATTGAGAATATCAGGGAAGCCAGAAAGGTAACAAATTTTACTAATATAAAGGCCACAACCTGCAAGAGAAAAGAAAACTGAGTCCTTACTCTTGCATTCTGGAGATTGGTTTATTGCTGCACAAACATGAATGTGCACGCACCCTCTTAAAATACAAATAAAATTGAAATTTGTAAAAATAATGCAAGAGCTTCTATACACTGAGTGCATATTTACACTTGGAAGCCAGAAATGGAAAGATGACCTGTGCCTGCTGGAAAGAAATCATTTTGGGATCTCAAGAGAGAGTGCAACCTCACAAGTGTTGTGTTGTTCATTTACGGTGTCAAGGGTGACTTATGTCTTATTTATTTTGGGTTTTCTTAAACCCCTGGGAAACTCACCACTTTGGGACTCTGTCTGTTTGCAACCACAATGGACAGAATTCCTGCAATGACATACTGTACAAAAATAAGGGTCAATTAATTTCTCTGGAAATGCATCCTCTGTGCTCACTTTACTAAGACCAAGTGCTTCCCAATGCTCTTCCCCACACTCTGTGCTCATAAACAATGTACTAAAACATTTTTTAGGATTACGTGCATGTTTAAAGCAGTAGAGGAATAAATATGACTTGTATTTACTTACAGTGAGTGGCACCAAAAGATATATGTAGGGCAGTGCGGGGTGCGATTGTACTACAGAAAGTTTATAACGAGACGTATTGGAAATAACTACCGCCCACAGCACGGTCAGCGCCACACCACACAGCACTTGGAGCCCCTGGAGGAGGAGAAAGTGTCTCTCAGGTGAGAGGAATAAGTCACTTAGACAAAGTTACTTCACCCGGTGAGGAGGTTCTGCTAATTCAGAGCTCCCTTATAAGGGGAATTCTCCTAAGATTAATGACTAAATTAATCTTCTGCATTTCCAAAAGGACAACATTGGTAATTTCCATAAGTCTCACATCTCTATATACTTTTCTTTATATTTCAAGAGTCAGTAGACTTTCACGAGTGTGTCCCCATGACCACGTCAAACTGTTCGGTCATCCAGTGAGCTGACCCAGGACAAATTTAGGGGAATAGAAATCCACCTCATGAAAAGGGCCTTTAAAATGCTTACCCCTGCAATACACAATGGTTTAATCACTGTATTCTGCACAGGACATGCCTCTGATGGCTGACTGGGGTCTGTGTCTTGCATGTCCATAGTGATGCTGCAGCTGATATTGCTTTGCACAGACTGTGATCCTTTTGATGACTGCAGATGTGCTGTCCGGGAAAATCAGATCAAAGGATGAGTCTCTGACTCCACACAATGTTTCCATGCATGGAAATAGCAAAGTCAGTTTAGGTTCTGTGGCAAGTGCTAGAAATGAGGCTGCACACTTGTTTCAGTAATGACTGGGGAAATTCTGACAATGAATGAGTATTCAGCATTGTCTGTTGTCCACTCAACAACGCTATAACCTCTATTGCACCATCATAAAGGCTATGCGGGAAATTTCTTCTTACCCCAGTTGGAATCTAGTGATTGTAGCCTGAACCCGAGAACCCTATTCACACAGTGTCTTGAAACGATGGTATTAGCAGGATGGAGCTGAAGATAAAAAACACCAGCACTAATGCTAGTATTCAGGTACCAGAGAGAAGCGAGGAGAAATGACTTATTAGTTTGGAGACATTAGAGCTCTGATTTCCCCTCACATTTAATTAAGTTCTTCCATTGTTGTTTCTGCTTTGCTCAGGGCTCATGCGTCTTGGGAAGTTGAGGAAATGACAGCGCTGTCCTCCATTAGCACCATGTGACTTGCAGGCCTCACACTCTGGTTTCTCCTGGTTGCTCTGACTCCCACACACATGCTGTGCTCAGCCACATAAATTCCCTGAGGAGCCTCATGTCCACGGGTGGGCACCGCACCCACCTGAGCCCACCCCTGCTCTTCTGCTGTCCTGATTCCAGAGCAGAAATTCAACATACAGCATTCATCCATCTCCGTCGGTAATGAGTCTTCTGTATTTACAGATATGAACCTCTGTGACTGCAAAACTGTGCTAGCGCTACCTTTTCTAACCCCATCACAATGGAGACAGTTTCCATGTCATGTTCATCTCTTTTCTTACCTGAACTTCAGGATATTGTTCCCACAGCTCAACTTTGTTGCATTTCAAAACACATTATGAACATTTTCCAGATAATTTCCATATGGTTACAATCTAGTTTAATAAGAAAATACATTGGCGTAAAATTGGTGGTATTCCCATTAAATATTAATGTTCTTTTAGACAAATTCATGCTTTTTTCCTGAGATAAGTGGTTAGAATAGAAAATATCATTTTGGTTTTGTTAATCAAAATAGTAAGTTCAGGAGGGAAAGTCAAGAGCATATGTGGCCTGGAATTTAGATGACGAAATTAATTACATGCAGACCCAGAGCAACAGGAGCGTTTGCTTAGAAAGACGCCTTCACACAGGAGCACTCCGGATGCTCTTTGCTCCGGTCCTCATCCCCGGCGGTTGCCCACTTGTCCTCCCATCCCTACTCTGCCACTTTCCTCCCTTGAAGAAAGTACCCGCCAGTATTTTTTAACATGTAATTTGGTTGTACATATTTCTGTAACATTATAATTACCTTAAAATGAATGTTCTCACACACAGTCCCTCCTTTTGATAGTGAAGATGTCAAAAGCTCACAAACTCTATGCAGTTTTCTATGTTTTCATCTCAAGCTGCCAAGGTTCTCATCTTTCATTCCTACCCAAAGAAAAATATCGTCACTTTCCAGACGAATTGTGACTCAGTTTTTATGAAAGTAAAAGTCCGTATTTCAAAATTTTCTTTCATTTATTTCTGATTTCAAAGCACTCTCCCAACTCCTAATATTCTCACTGCAGAGAACTTCCTCTTAAGAATAATAAAGTTGGGGAAATTATAATTCCAGACCATAGCATTTACACTCTTTGATCAAAATTCCTGTAATGAAAGAAAAATAGAAAGTAAACTTGTGATAAGATGGATACAGAGCAGCAAGACCCCTTGATAACAGGCCTTGGAACCCCTGGAAAAGTGCTCTGGGCTTCTACACATTCAGGACAGAATATGAGACTTAGGCAGAGCTTTTATAAAATAACTTTTGGAAGTGCTGATGTGCTGCAACTTGTTATCTTTTGTTTGTTACATTGTATAGTATGTGTAATAATAGCATTAACCCATGGCCATTATGGTCATTGTAGAGAGCTGGTACACACACGATGTCTTTTTTTGTTGTTGTTGTTTTTTGTTTTTGTTTGTTTGTTTGTTTGTTTTTCCAGTACCGGGGATTGAACTCACGACCTTGCGCTTACCAGGCAGGTGCTGTGCTACTGAGCTAAATCCCCAGCCCCCGACCATGTCTTAATCCTGTTTCTTTCTCCCTCCCCTCCTTCCCCTTCATTCTCCCCCAATCTCCAGATCCACTTTTCACCTCTGTAAAGTTTGCCTCCTGGTTTCCTATCATCTCTATTTTATATAAAATCCATTTATACAGCTTTATCATTTTGTGTCATTATAAAATTGAGTCTGAAACTACAGCATCAGATAAATTAAAAATAAAGCAATAACCAGAGACAGTTTTGACTTTCTCAAATAACAATTCCTAGACTTTGTTATGACACTAATGTACTCACAAGGTTTTCTACCAGTGAACAACTCCAGAAAATTCTGTAAAAGCCTAAAGGTTTAGCATGAAGACCATGGACTCTGGTAGTGTAACCAATGCCATGAATATAAACAACAGGAGGGGCACATACCTCTGTCACCAAACATCACTCAGTCTTAACTAAGCATCTGTCCAGGACCAGGGAACTTCACTGCACTGCAGTCCACTTAAGACCCTGTCTGAAGGAGTCACCAAAAGACAGCACCTCACCTGGTGCTCACTCATACCATATACAAACTATGGAAAGTGGATCTTCAATGCAAGTTAATTTTACTTTGTAAGAAGGAGTCGCCAGCTGTTTGAGGAGATAAAGACACTTTACCTAAAATGATACCTTTTTGGCCCGGGTTTCTTGCACATGGGTTCCTGTGATGGGGAAAGGTCCACCCCACTGGCCAAAATACTTTCTGTTTATCTCTACTTCTCAGACTGCCACAATTTTTGAAATTGCCCAACATTTACATGCACATCTCTTTTTTCAGGGAAAAATTTTATTTGTTGTTTTCATACGGCCATGGGCCAGTCTAAAAACACATGTCTTACATTTATGGATTTATTTTGAATGATAAATTCAAGCTTCTTTAGTTCATAGAATAGCCTCATTTAGAGAACATAAATTTTATTAACCTTATCAGTAAAAGGGATGAAGGGATATCTCTGTTGTCTCCTTTTCACTCTAATTAGTATATTTTCCTCACAGTCATAATGGTCTTTGATGCTTTTCCCTTTTTCTTGTCAATTTCTACTACTTGAAAAATAATTACATGAAAAAGTGCATAGTATTTCTGAAGTGTTGTATTTCAGAAAATGTCAGGCATTGAAGCGATAGGCTATTTGCTCTTATAACTAAAAGTCCGTCACCTGAAATCATCAAGGCACCTTCTGGGCTCTTCAACAGCTGTTTATTTAAACTCAAAATGGGAAAGGAATAGAAACACATGGTCCACAGCACTCTGAATTTTTCTATAGTGCTTAATCAGGGTTGACCTGGTAGAAATTGGGAATATCAATGCTTTTAATTATCATTGTATGTATTATAATAACTTCATAAATAGCTTGTTCACAGGGAAAATACGTATTATTCACTCCTGGTTTCTCTCTATACCTGTGCCAACAAGGAGGGACATTTTCTATCCATTTTCTGTCTATTTTAATCTGTCAAAGGGAATAATTTATCTCAAGTTGTAAAGGGAATAATTTATCTCAAAGGGAATAATTTATCTAAATTTTAGTGTCTTATTATTCAATGTACAGTTTTCCTAGGAAAGAATCTGGGTTTTTGTCAGCTGGTTCTCTGTATGTATCATCATGAAGATAGTATTTTTCTTCTTTCTTGCATCAGTGCACAGCCTAGCTAGATTTTTAAAGAGTAAAACACTCTTACGACTTACAAGATTTGTAGGTTTGTTCTATTGCTCCGTGTGTCCTGAGGGAAAGTTATGGGCTCAAGGTGGCTCAGGCACATGTGTTCCCCTTCATGAAGGTCCATCATTCTCGTTTGGATATTTTGCTCATGAGGCACAGAGCTTCTGAAAGGTATAATCCTACTCAGAGAGTCACAGCTTTGAATGCCGAGTCCTTGTGAACCCCTTTCTCATTCTTAGAAGAAATCTAAGTCCTCTTTTTGTCTGTGCCCGTAGAACTTGATAATCAAGCTTTCATTTAGGGAAATGTCTTGACATACATGAATGCTTCATTAGTTTAAAGTAAACCATGGTTTAGGGAGAATAACTTCAACTGTTCTTATAAACATCAGTTT